TATATATATATATAATTTTATAAGTTTAAATATGGATTGTTATATCATAAATTTTGATTCGAATAAAACAAAACAGTTTCTTTTCTAATTTTTTTTTGTGTTTACAGGTATTAGTTCGTCTTACTGGTTATGACTTCGCTTGTTATATTTCGCTGGATGTAGTACTACGGTCGCTCTCAGCCAATGTGCTTACTGCAGCAAGACGCTTGTGTTTTAAATGACCGTGTCAATTTGTAATTCCACCAAATGCGAGGTTTGTTTAGTGATTGAATTCCGTTGTGCAAAAAGATAAACTGCTGCTGAAATTCATTGGCAACTTGTTTGCTTACGGTAAGGACGACGTTGTGAACAAGAAAAACTAGACAAAATGGTGTCCTACTGCACGATAACGCCCATCCGCACACTGCTCGCAACAAGCAATCATAACTTGTTTCCGCAAATGATTTGAGGTCTATGATTACTATGTTGAAAAATAAATAAACTTATGTTCTAAAGGTGTTATAAGCCAATCTAAAATTAAAATACTTAGAAATAGTTTCTGGATTTTGTATCTTTACTTCACGAAAATGCCTCGTATTACAATAAAAATATTGTTTTAGCTGAGCATAGAAAAAACTATTTAACTAACCATAATTTTTTCATTATTTTAATACTGAATTAGTTTGTCATGTCGTAATACTGCCACACAAAACATTTTAATATCATTACACGACTATCGTCTATAACATGATTTAGCTAATGAAATTGAAAAACCACTGATAGGAAAAATTATTGTTATGTATAAGAAAAATACGGCTTTTCCTATCATAAACAAAACGTTTTTGTTTTATATAATTGTAAATATATTAATAATATGTTTACTTATTAATTTTTTTAAAATTAACTTTATTATTATAAATATTTACTGTACTATATTTACCTTATATTAATCTCCAAAAGACTGGAACTTTATCTGATTTCTATCTATCTCCTCCGTACTATTTGCCCTCGAATCCACGGTCTTTCTCTCCTCCTGACGTAGCCCGATTGCACAGACTTGTCACACCTTGTAAATGATGAAACAGAGTCAACGTATTGGAAATGCATTTCCAATCATTTCCCCAATCAGTCCAAGCACCAAGCCTAATGATTAAATTATTTTTTCAGACATTTAAATCACACCTATAAGCGCAATTTCTGGTATGTATGCCTAACATGACGGTACGATCTTGCTCTAAACCGAATCATCAACCAAGGACTGTACTGTACAGTACATTTACCTATTATATATACATGACATTACACTGGTATATACATACCTATTTTACATATACTCTGTCCAGATCCATATCTTATTTGGGTTAAAGTCCAGATACGTATACTGTCATGGCGGCTCATCTCTGATTCCAGCAAACAGTGGGGACGCACGTTCTAACCTAACCTAACCTATTCTAATAATTTGATTGGTAATAATTATGGTAATTTATTAGAATAGGTTAGGTTAGGTTAGAACGTGCGTCCCCACTGTTTCCTTTCTTTTGTTTGCTGGAATCAGAGATGAGCCGCCATGACAGTATACGTATCTGGACTTTAACCTTTATTTATTATTAATGGCCGCCCGTTTCTTTACAAATTTAACTAATTAAAATATTGAACAGTCACAAACCCTTAGCTTTGACACCAATGCAAGACGAACGCGAAATGGCGGGAAACTACAGGGTGGTTCGACTTAAGGTTTGCGTCAATGATTCATTAGAACCGAGGACAAACCATTCGGAATATATATATCAAAATTACTTACGTATCATTCAGCTGCTTACTTTAAGCCATTTTGTCATCTCCGTCAAACAAGTTTCTACTCGCTAAAGTAAACGTACGACATTTTTTCCTCAGAATCGTTTGCGCCCCCACGCGGAAATAATTAAAAATTATAATTAATTATGAATTTTTCAAATTTAGAAAATGGTAGTTATTTCTCGTAGTATATGATCATTTTCATTTTAGAACGATATCAGATGCAGCTAATAAATTTTTTGTAATGTTTTTTTTTAATAAACTTGATGCTCACACAGTTTTAAAGAAGGTTTAACAACTTAATTCCCGGAATGGACGAGTAGTGTCGCGCTTGATGTAATTGTATCGAAGTCGCGTGAGTATGCGCGTTTGAAAAATGTGCATAAATTGCCAGCTGTAGCTGTTAGTTAGCTATCGGGAAGGTAATAAAGATCTGCGTGTGCACTTTGACAACATCGACAACGCATCGAGTCGCAGTAGGTTTACAGTGAACGACTTTCTGGCCAAAGAGCGCTGACCCAATTAGATTTCTGGTTATTTACAAAATTAAAAGCCACTCTGAAGGGGAAAAGATTTTCTAATATAATTGACATCCAACAGAATGTGAGACGGACACTCGACAATGTTTCAGAAAAATTTAGCCACCAGTTGCCTGACTTTTCCGGCTTTTATGAGATTTTATTTTTAAAATGACATTTGTATTAGTAATCAAAATAAATAAATAAAATTGTATGTGGCGCCATCTGTTATGAGATTGTATTATAAAAACTTTATAAATTTTTAATTATTACAAAATAGCAAGACTTAATTTTGAGGATAGATATGCGTTTTTTAAAGCAACGCTTACACCAAGTAAAATCTTCATTAAGTCTGAACCCTCACGAGATAGCTTCAATCTCTTCATTATCTTTAAAAATTGTGGGGATTGAGCCAAATTCCAACTTCGTCTTGACAACTTTTATTTTTATTTTATTTTATTTTTTGCGTTATTTATTTTGTATATTTATTCTGTTTTTTACTTTATTAGTTTTTTAAAGGTTGAATTCTGGGAATTAAACTTTACACTTTGTATTTAATTAATTTGATGTATCGAATAATGTACAGTATTTTAAATAATGAAAATCATTAATTATTTGTCTGATCGATGATTAAGCAGTATTAAGTAATGAATTAAATACTGCTGTATAAATATATTTTGTTATGAAATATTAACGAACCGTTTAATTTACATTGTAATTTGTTAACGGAAACTTTCTCGGAGCAACGTTCAACGGTTGACGAAATTTGGTGACACCGGTTGGCATCGCCTTGTTCGGACGATCGATAAAATGGTTCAACAAAGATGAAATAAAAACTGCATTATGTTCATTATAGATATGCTCGGGCAGACCTACGATGGAGGCAGTAGCGAAATCAAGGAATATGAACAGTATTCCAATCTGTACTATCTCTAGGGTTGCCATAATTGCCAAGCATTGATACGGGACATTTATTTAAGTGCTAAATAAATAAAACTTGAAAAAAGTCGGTAGGTAATGGTTTATTTTACTCTGATAAAAAATCAATAAAGTTTAAGCAATCTAATAAAATGAACACGTAGAATAATAAAAAAGATGCAAGATGCCTTTTCAGTCAGTCATATTTTTAAATACAGTACAGGTAACCCCCGTATAACACGGTACTTCTATAGCACGGATTCACTCTAACACGGTTCGAGAATTGGGTAAAACCCTCGTACAACAGGAAATGTAATAAATTTTTACATACTTAAGTAATAATAGTTCACGAAAATTATTATTTTCGTGAACTATTAGTACTTAAGTATGTAAATTTTCTCTTCTCGCCTTCTGTCGATACACGTGGTCCTTCTCGAAACTTGTTTCAATGTTGCCAGATCGCGACGCTTCTGCTTCTGATGTTGCCGAATGTTTTTCCCTTATTCCATACTTGCTTTATTCTTCATAAGTGCTTAGCACCATATAAGGAAATTTATAAAGACCTTTTAACTAGAAGCAAGCAATCTAAAATTACATACATTTTGCAAAAGGTAAAGCATGGATCTGAAGATAATGCAGAAAAATGCTCAGAGGATAAGGATAACTTGCCAAAAAGAAAACGCTCTCGGTTAATTAATAGTGTTTTTAGTGATGACGAAGAAAACATTGTTTAATTTATATTAATATGTATCACTTAAATAATTTTTAATGAAGATATTTATCTTAATTATGAAAATATACTAGCATGTTTTTTAATTTTTGGAACCTAACCCTTCTTTTCGTATTAGTTCTTTGTTTCGTATAACACGGATTCGCATAACACGGCAATTTTTTGGAACGTAACTACTGTGTTATACGGGGGTTACCTGTATCTTGTTGGAAGTATAACGTTAGTGTCGTGTTCGGAATTGTTTTAAATAGTGTTTCGCTGGCTGTTTTGAGTAATCGCGAAGATGTGTATTTTAATTAATATGAATATTTTATTAATAATAGTCAATGGTGAGATTTTGTATAAAATAATCGCAAACCGAAGCGATTTTCCCACCTCTAATCCAGAGTTCGAACATTATATTAATATCGGCTAATACGATTTAAATAAGTTCAATATTGTGTTATTTAAAAATTTAAATTTTTATTTTAAAAAATTAAAATAACGTACATAATGACGAGAGCGCCCCTAGCGAACATTTCGCGAAACGTAACTTTTTTCACTTCGGAAACTAACGGACGAAACTCGATGAAATTTGATACGTAGGCGGAAACAAATTAGCGGACGACCTTTAGTGTTTTTTTTTTTGATAAAATTTGAATTGGGAAAGACAGAAAATGTTCTAATTCCAGTATAGTAAGGTTGGCTTTATTAAGCCGTTCTTTCGTTTGCTCGCTTACTTGACGGCTTGCCTCTACCGAGCCTTACAATAAAATTTATATTTTTTTTTTAAATAAAAACTCATAACAGCTGGGAAAGTTACGCTACTCGTTGCCAGATTTTTTGTTTGGATTTATTTAAAGTCTCCCACTTTAAAATTAAATTCTCGAACGACACATTCGACACGGATTTGCGGAGTCTCTGTCCTATTAATTCGATTTCTAAATGTCAAAATACCCACAATCGGTAACGAAAAACCGCGGCGGCTTTTCGTATTTCCGTAACCACCCCTTCGATAGTTCGATCGGCAGTCGTCAGACGGCGACAAAAACCGCGTGACGTCTACTTCCGCTATTCGAAGACTCGTCGATAGTAAAGATATAAATAAAACTAGAAAAATATAACGGCGACGAGATTAATTTTAACTATTATTGTACGATTCGTATATATAAAATCTGCGTATTTTAACGCAACCGATTTAAAAAAGGATTACAGTTTTGACATCCGATAAGAATTAAAAGAGAAGTCGTTTAATTAATAAGGCGCCGTTAGAAAAAAGAAAATAAATAAAAAAAATGCGTGGAGGAATTTGTGAAGTGGACGGAGAGGAAGGTGGCATCGCGGTAACGTGTTCTCGAACATCTGCCGGGACTTAGTGTGGCGTTCGAGATTTGGGCCGAGAAAGTGGCGATGTTACGTCGATTATTCGCGATCGCGGTTCTCTGATCGTCGACCGTTGGCGCCAGAGAATGAGGCCGACGTCTTTGCTTTCGATTATTTTCCTGTGTTCGTCGGTCATCTGCGGTCCCCACACCCACAACAAGCAGAAAGACGGATCCGGCAAAGAAAGGGAGTCGGACGGCGCCTACGGTCCCAGGGATCGCAATCATTTCGTCGACGAGGAACACAACGTCGAATTCGACCACGAAGCCATCCTGGGTGAGTGGGCCGATGCATCTGCGTGTTAATCAATTAGCGTTTAGAAAAACTCCAAAAGATCGACCCGAAGCCGTCGGAAATTGACATTTTAACCAAATTCGTCGATAAGATTCGATGTGTAAACGCGTTTACTGTTTAGAATCGTTATACGTACGTTTACGCGCGTGGTATTTCCTATTCGGAATCGTGGTTTGTCTAGGTGTGTTTTGGACCCGCTTGCCGTCCCGGAGGAGGGGAAAAACGGAGATGCTCTCGCCGGTGCGTGCGGTCGGGATGCGCCGCGCTTTCTCGGATCCGCTTCGTCCGGAGGCGGTGGGAGATGGGAGGGTGCCCCGGGCGGCCTGTTTGATGTTTTGGTCTTCTGGGGACGCCTGGCGTGTTCTTTGGCGATTCTGGTGGTTACGGATGGAGAATGCCTGCGAAAATACGTTGTGGAGATTGACGTTTGGCCGGTGGCGGGATTGCGGAATTACTGGAGGGTTTCTCGTTTTCTTTGGCGGATACGGTTCGGAAACCTTGCTCCGTTTTCGCCCGGATGGATTTTTGGACTTGCCCGGCGGTACGAGATGAAGTTGTGTTTTTACTAACTGTTTTTGTAAACGTTCTGTGGGAATGTAGTTATCGACTTCAGATATAATGCTGGTCGTTGTTTATTCTAGAATTGAGAGCCTTTTGACAGAAGGGCTGCTATTTATAATTTTTCATGTAGTATGGAAATATATTTTACACACACAAAATACATATATACATGTATACATATAAGGTATAGTTATTTCTTATAGATAAACATATTTACTAACTTCTGTGACAGATTATCCGGTATGCTAACTGAGTGCTAGCTTTTGTTTTCAAATATACCGTAAATAAAATTGTAATATATTTACCAGCATTAAATGGAATATTTGAGGAGTCTCAAAATTAATTGGAATTAGATGGGGATTAATTCTGCAGATACACTGTTGCCAGTTTTTAAATTATTACTACTAGAAATATTTTGGTAATAAAAATAGTTATATGTTGTGTCATTTGAGGCATTACCCAGCAACTTATGTTTCGAACCCACTGTTGTCCCAGAGGAAGAGAAAAATAGAGACGATCTTGCCAAACTTTTACATTCAGTATTTGGCCTAGTGTCTCAAAGTTCAAAATTGACAACTAGTCCAAACTTGATTAGGAGAAAGGAACCTTGTGAAAGAAAAACAGTTAATCAACAAACACTTTAATAATTTACAATAAATTGCCTATCATCTTGACTAAAGACATATCTCGTCAGTTTTACTGAACCGACATGAAAGTGTCTTAAAAATTTTATTAGAAAGTCTCAGTACAACTGTAAATCATAACAACCATATAAATTACTTAGAGAAATATATCTCAGTCATAATTTGAGATGTTGTAATATAAATGTAGCCATAGTTGATATCATTTATCAAACTTGATTTAAGGTGTTTATTTGTTCTCTAAAAAATGTGCTGCAATTTTGACATATAACTCACAAAAAATTGCTAGAATGAAAATAAAACTTTAGAATAACCCTACAATTAAAGAATCCACTGAAAATGTGACACTGGTGTGCAATTTAGAAAGTGTTGTCTCAAATATTCAGATTTTTCATTTCCATTAGCAATTTCTTGTAGATATAATTATAAAATAAACAATTACTTATTATGGCATTGTTACAATGCTGGGTTGCAACTTTGAATCATATTTTAATTTTTTAAAATCTTGTGACTTTTGGTCTAGACCAGAAGTTTGTATATAGTATATCGGGACCTCTAGCCCTAAGCTTTCTGTATTTGGTCTCGATTTTCATTTATCTAATTCTGTTCTCAAGATTAAGGAAGGATAGATAACAGTGGAAATCTGTAAGTCTGAAATTTGAAAACTAGCCCAATAAATGAAATCAAACAAATGGAATATTTGAGAAAGAAAGTGCCTAAATTCCTTTAATTATTGAAAGGAAAAAAAAATCACTGCTGCGAATACTCAAAATTTTTTATTATTATTTTGCTTCTTTTCTATTTTATCTGTTAAATATTATTAATAAAATATATAATAATAACAACAACATATTCATTTGGAGTTATACATTGGACTCAGGCAGATTTAGAACAACTCCAAATGAAAACATGAACATAAACAGAACACAACAAACAACACTAACAAGTAAGAGTCAGCCTTTCTATGAACAGTCATTCATTGAAAGGCTAAGTCTTCCTTGTAAAGAGGAAGGACAATGCTTTGTATAAATTTTAAATCTGCATTACATACAGTATGAACACTGAGAGCTTTTCTAAGTATAACTCTTGCAGATAAAAAAAACACCATTAAACTTTCATAATAGTATGATGGTGTCTGCATTTTGTATTGTGTTAAATCTAGTCTAGTCTTGGACACAAGAGTTGTTCCATTGGTAAGCATCCCAATAGTCTTAGCCATGATCGTGTTGACAGAAATTGTCAAATTGCTGGCTGACTCATGGGTGCCTCTTCAGAGAGATTGAAGGATTCATAATTGCCATACAAGACCAGGTCATAACTACAAGAAACTATAGGAAGCTGATGTTAAAATCACATGCCAAATTATATATGAGACTATATCACATTGGGTTGCAAGCTTTTAACATAAACTGGCTTATTTACTTATATTGACATAAGTAAATGTAATACATAAAAAGCTTGCATATAAACACAAACAAATAATATACACTCCGTCTAGGGAATTTCAGTCGGCCTGAAGAAGAGCGAAAGGATCGCTCGAAAATGTTTGTCAACAGCGATATACAGTATATACGCATCGAGCGCCAGTCACAGGTTCCAGATAGTGTAACGTTGATTTAAACACAAACTATTACACACCTAGGAACCAAACTACAAATACACTTCACAGTCATAGAAAACAATACACACAAAGTATACCATGACCAATCCATAATCACAGGCGAAATGATACATCACATTTACTAACAAGCAAAATCAGATACATAACAGACATAACTGCTCCAAATATTCACAACATACAAAATACATAAAATGAAAAAAATTAGTAAATACTCAGAACTTACCTGCAAAATAAAGCATCTGTGGAAGGTACAGTAAGTTATCTTCTAGTACTTAATAGTAACATTAACTCTTGCTAGTTATTACCTTGTCAAGATGAGAGCTCTCAGTATCACAGTATCTCCAGAATCATGATAGTTCATTAGAACTATAGTGATTATGGTAAGTACAAAATTCTAGAAACATTAGGCCTCCACAACATATATGTGATATCTACAGCACATATAACACATTGCAGAAAGCAGCCATACTTAGCATGTCACATAGTCAAGAGATTCTTAAACACAGAAACACACTAACATCATATAACCACAATAACAGTTTCTCTGTAGCTATACCTTGGTTTGGCATAGCACTGGGCACTCGTATTAACCAAGTAGGATACAATCCACACTCAATAACAACAACACAAAATACTAAAATAAACTAAAAAATAATAATCATCAATGTTAAAATCTACCTAAAGTGTGAATTTGAAAGTCAACTGCTTTGAACTTATTTAAAGTAGAGAACCAACATATGATAAAATTAACAGTCAATTTCTAAAAAGTCCCCTGAAAATAATTAGGTACACAGGAAGGAATTACTGGAAACTTAGTCTAATTTGTATCATGAAAGCTGATAGGAGTGTTTCATAAAATCAATTAAAGTGTGGATTGATTTACAAAAAAATAATGGAAAAAAACTAAAGGCAAGGACATATACATGTACAAATACACATACATTCCTTTGATGAATTTTGGTTGGACAAAATTACAATGGCAGATGAAAAGATCTGTGGCACACAAAGGCTTATGTTTCTTGATGATTTTGATGTGTTCAGACAAAGGAAAAGCAGTTTACTGAATTAATAATTTTGAGATTACCCAAATCCATTTTTAAATTGTTATCTGTGTTAAAAACAGTTAACTGATATATCCATGAAAAATTACTGTAATCAAGTATATGCTTTCTTTGGATTAGAAATTAAACATTCTTCCGTTTCAAATCAAATATTGATGTTGTATTAGAAAATTAAATTTTTAGTAGAAATATAAGTGATTTTACATGTATTACAAATCATTTAGATAAAAACATGCGATATAAAACACTTCAATGCCTTTTTAATATCAATATAAAACACATAAATGCACTCATTACAAATGAGTGTATTTACATGTTTTATATTGGCATCACTAAATAAAAATATTACAAGGCTCTATATCTAAAAAATGAAATGTTTTTTTTTTAATTAAGTAGTTTTTGAATTTGAATGTCCAAAAGACTAAATATATAAAATATAAGTACAATATCTAACAAGCATACCTCATTTTTTCATATATATTGAAATACAGTATATATGATATTACAAATTGCTATGTTATTTGCAAATTAAAAATAAATTATGAAAAATATATTTTAATTCATTTAAAATTTCACAGACCCAAATTTTTTTTGGTATTATAATATTTAAACATAACTTTCAAATAAAAATAAAAATATAAAGTTAGATTTCAAGAGGCAAAAAAAGTTTATATCCTCTTGCCCTCTTCATCAGAACATATTTATGATAACATGGGCAATTGTTTGCATAAACAATAAATTTTTGTTCTCAAAATCTGTTGTTTGTGTCAGATGTAGAGAATAAGAATACTATATTTTGAATAGTTATACATTTAAAATATTTTGCAGAGGCAAATTACATAACACATAATACAAAATAAGAATGACAGAAAAGATGATAGATGGACAAGATTCTTTAAAAATATATATAGATACATTGAATAGTTCTTATTTATAAATTAAACTAGTTGTTTCAAACAGTTTTCAATTTTTTTAATAGGAAGTAAAGATGAAGCAGAAACGTTTGATCACTTAAGTCCTTCGGAAGCCAAGTCGCGTTTAAAAATTCTTGCCGAGAAAATGGATAAGAGTCGCGATGGTTTTATCGATAAGAAAGAACTTACGGATTGGATATTAAAATCTTTCAGGTAATTTATTTTTAAATACAGTAATACCCCGAACTTACGCGATAGGTGGGACCGAGCGATAACCGCGTAAGTCGAATTCGCGTAAGTCGGGGTATAATTTTGCATATAAATACATACAAATAACACAAAATAAATTGTAGCTATATGTCGAACACGTCCGAACATGTAAGCCGAATAATAGTGTGGGAGGAAATGAGTAATTAAGAGTTGCGTGGCGCTCAAATAAAAGACGAATCGACGAGATTTGAAAATCGCGTAACTCCGGATTCGCGTAAGTCGGGGTATTACTGTATTAATTTCAATTGTGTGTTAATAAACATAAACAAAATTTTAAAAAGAAAGTTACTTTACAAAAGAGTTAAAATATATGTATAATATAACAAAATTTATTATTAATGATTTTTTTTTGTGAAAAATTTTTGGAATTTTTATTTGGGGAAATAATGTTTATAAAGAGTTTGTTGGTATAATAATGACGAGATTCTCTGATCTTTTGTTTTATATTTTATTCTATAACATTAAGACTAACTTGACTACACTTTGGTAAGCCACAGGACAAGACGAACACATGTAAATTTTGTAATAAATGTTAATCAAAGCTAATATATGGTGTAAGACAACACCTTATGTTGCTGAGAAATTTAATAAAATTTGATTAAATTTCTCAGCAACATAAGGTGTTGTCTTGAATTACATTTTGCTGTGTTAGTTTATTTCAATGCTAATATATGGTTATGGTTATATTTTTAATTACAACAGTAAACATCTTATAACAAATCACATTAAAATGAAAAGTACTTACACTTAAAATATTTTAAGTGTAAGTAAATATTATAAGAAAACAAAAGAAATTGTTAAAATATTTAAAATAAAAAATTTTAATCAGACAATTTAATAAGTAAAATTAAAAAAATCCAAACATATTGAAAACAGAGTTAAAGAAACATAAGAAATCTATTCTAAAACAAAGTAGAACACAACAATCCTTTACAAATACACACATGTGTTTAATACATAAACACTCTGATGACCTTGACACGATTAATCTGCCATCAGGATTCGTCTAGCAAGAACAAAACGTGCCTGTGAAAAGATTAAAGATGTCTAAATATATAAACACTATTTAAAGTTTCAACATTTTTTGAGGGATAGAGAAATTTAAATTAATGCTTCTCTATTAGCATCTTAGGATGAGAACAAATTCTTTAAAAAGATGTTTAATTTTGTGTTTATGCATTTCTTTAATAAATGCAAATATAATGATATGAAATACTGTATGAGAATAATTTCTATAATACTCATAATAACTTTTTACTTTGAAAACAATTTATTTGTCTCAATTCAAAAAGTTTTTTAAAATGTTGATTTTAACGATTAATGTTTTTTTAATTTTAATATTTTTTTAGAAAAATTTCTTTTGTAATACAGTATTTGTTTTTGCACTGATTACTTAAAAGTTTAAAACTTCACAATATTATTTCTGAAATGTAAGATTGACAGGTTAATAGCGTGTAAAGGATTATGAATGAACAGTAGTGTTGGATGTTAGAAAATATTAAAGTTTATGTGAAAATATAAGTTGATGAATGTAATGTTCATTCATTTATTTTTATTAACTGTAAATAACTGATACAAGATAAAAAAAGAATTAGGTATATATCAATATTTTTGTTATGCAGTAGTTAAATTCCTGAAAAATCCATGCAAAAAAGATATTGTCTGTATGGAAAAATGGAAGATTAATTAGTTTTTGTATTATTTTTACTGGTTTTTAAGGTCTGAAATCAATGTAATAGGATGTGTTTTAGCAAAATATTTCAGTTGTAGTTAATAAATCAAAGGATTAATTGCTGTATAATTTATTTATCAGAAAAATTTAATAAGTTTATATTTTTTGATAAATTTTATTTTAGTTTACTTTTTTATTTAGATTTTTCAATTAAACACTGAAATATATCTAGCTTTTAACACCAAATGGCATAGAAAAAACTACTCCATATTCAAAGAAATTGGAAGAAACATTTGTATAAACAATTAAGTAAACTTTGAATTAAATATTTTCTCACTGTTTCAATTGTGGGATAACGTCAGAATGAAAGACTGATTGTTGCCACAAACATTGAAGTAAGTCAAAGTGAAAAATCAACTAAATCTTAATCAATGGCCAGATGACTGAGGAAATTAAGGCATTGGCCTACCACTCTAGGGTCTCAGAAACAAATCCCAGTAGTCAGAAATTCAGGAAACTTTTTGGGAGTCTGTCCTCCCTTACCATCTGGCTGCCCCCACTGTGGGCATGGCCAAACCAATGATGGATATTATTAAAAGGCTCTCTCAGTACAGTAAAAATTAAAGGGAAAAAAAAAGCCAAATTTTAAAATTTACTTGAGTGTGCATGACAGCCTTAAATGTAAATTCTAAAACTTGTTTTAAAAAGAGCAATTTTGTACAAAAGGAAGTACAAATATTTTTTCTTTGATTTAAAAAAAATTTGTTTTTTCTTTTAAATCAAGAAAAGAAAATTTAAAAGAGATTTTTAAAAAGTCAAATTTATTGAAATGTGTTAGATTATATAAATACATCCACTTCTGTTTTATGTGGATTTTTTACTCTAATCTGATAGTGCAAATATGTAAAGTATTAGATTAAAACAAATCATGTAAAAAGAGAACTATATTTTTTTTTCAAAATAGTGTAAACAAGTCTAAACAAATCAGATATCAAATATGTTCAGAATAGGAGCCATGCTATTGAATATAGAATTTTATGCAAGAAATAGATTTTAAATGATTGTTTCTGTTACTAGTTTATGTGGATTTTTTAAAAACCTAAAATTTTTGGCTTTTCTTTCAGTAACTTACATCACACAAGGAACTCTTATTGATATAGGCTTTATTATTGGTTATGGATATTCATTTTGGGTCATAATGAGCCCTCATCAGTCTGTATTTTTTTGTACAGATCTTATCAAAAGAAATAATAGTTATAAATAAGATCTGTACAAAAAATAACTGAAGAGGGGTCATTAAGACCTGAAATGCATATCCACGTTCAATAATAAAACCTATATCAATAAGAGTTCCTTGTGTGTTGTAAGTTACTGAAAGAAAAGCCAAAAATTTTAGGTGTTTAAAAAAGCCAAGAAATAGACGTTACAATTTTTTTATTATTGTCCAAATCTTATTCAATAAATGTCAGTAGTATAATAATGTTTGTTCCATTGAGAATTTCCAATTGCTTTCATCTTTCAATTTTAGAATAAATTTTAATCTTAGGGCATATTAATTATTCATCATAATATTTTTCAAGTAATATTACAAAATTCAAATTTTCTATTGATAAATTGTATTCTTATATTTATCTTTGTTTAGAAAACTGACAGAAGAAGAAGCAAATGAACAAATGGAAGACGACGACGTAAATGAAGACGGCAGAATTTCGTGGGACGAACATAAATCGGAAACGTATGGTATTTACAATGATAATGAACTAACACCGGATACGGATGAAAATTCAGATTATCAGGTGATTTAAATTTTAAATATTTTATTTAATTNGAATATTACAGTATTTATATCCTATGTAGCCTAATTAATGCGTTTGTTCTAACGTATTGATAAAAAATTTTAATGATGATAAGACTTGTTATTACATTAAAAATTTTTATAACTGATTAACATCAAATAAAATTAATCGAAATAAAAGAATCTGATAAGAATATCCAATTTTCGATAACGCGCCAAACATGTGATTCTACCAATTTACTTATGTAATCACGAAATCAAACATGAATATTATCTAAAATATAAAAAACCTTATTAGTTTTCGAATGTATAGTTATAAATGAAATTAATTTTTATTTTGCTGATTCATCAAAAGGTATCATAGAGATTCAACGTAAAGGCTAGATCGATTAATAATGTACCATACTGTACATATAAAGTTTATGGTCGTTTATTTAGAGAAAAGAACATCAAAAACGTTACTTTTCTTTTATAAATTTGATAAATATTTTCTGAAAAATGATTTTTGTTACAATAAAACAGTGTTCTATCACTTAAATCATAAAAAATTTACGAATTCAGAAACACATTGGATATTGACCACAACGTTTATAATCACTAAATCATATTAAATATATTTAATTGCAGTTTTTCATTTAGTTTAAATGGGATGAAACAGCTACATATATATATATATACACAAATACAGTATAATCGTGTTTTAATGGATTATGGAACAACAGATTTCTTGGAATAATGGATTTTTTCCCCCCTAGGTCCCACTAAATCTGTGTAATTTTACCTCATTAAGCTCCATAACTTGGAATAACAGATTTTTTTTCTAGCCCCATCTATTGTAAACTTCAGATTTTTTCAATGCTTAGTTAACATTTGGGAATTTGTAGAGTTTGATGATGCACTTGTTACATCAAGGATATATAAAATTGAAGAACTGTATGAAGAGAGTCAGCAGGCCTATATGATTGAGGAGGAGCCACCTAGTGAACATTATGACACAGATCCAAATGTAGTGCCGAAGTTTAGAAAGGCTATCGAGTCTTTTCAAGTTGTGAGCCCTTCCTGACAAGTTTCGGAATGAACAGACAGGCTGTACAGTACATGGCATTGCTAATATCAAGCACTTGTATTCAATAAGCAGAAAAGCGGCATCAAAACAACTGAGACTGATTTGTTAAAAAACTTGTCAAAATCAAGTGAAGTGCTTGTAAGCATAAATAATTTGCCCCTTTTTGTGCTTGCAGTATATAAAGTTTCTGTCAACTTTGTCATACACATATACAGAATAATATACTATCTTGTAATGTATATGTTTCTACAGAATAGAGATCTCAAGAGACTGAATAACTTCAAATATAGGTATTTCTTATATGTGGAAGATTAAATAACTGATATTTTCCTGGGTGAGCAAGAAATCAGTTGTTTACAATATAACAAATTCTCAGAACAATGGATGATTTTTGGAAACCCGAGCAATCCATTAATGAGATTGTTTAAAGAAATAATATGTTAATCATGCAAATTAAGAAATTAATTTGAATTAAATTGACTTAAATTTCATCAATAAATCTGCTAAAATCTATTGGTTATAAATGAACAAAGAGTTTGATGTTGGTGATGTTGATGAGGCAGCCTTCTTCAAAATGAAAATGTATAAATGAATTTATTATTATTTTTATAAAATGATTTGGAATTATGTAGTTTATTTGGAGTTAAACATATGTCTTGTTTAACTTAAATTGAGAATCATTTACGAAATGATTCTCAATTTAGCACTACCAAATTTGATTGTTATTGAAAATAAAAATCATATACAGGTAACCCCCGTATAACACGGCACTTCTATAGCACGGATTCACTCTAACACGGTTCGAGAATTGGGAACATCCCCTGTATAACATGCTGCTTTTATAGCACGGGTTCACTCTAACACAGTTCTCGTACAACATAAAATGTAATAAAGGGTACGTTCTTTTATACCTCCGCGTAACTCCATGCTATCATTCTAATTGTTTTCGTGGCTACTTTGAATGCTCTTTCAACAAATAATCCATTTAATGGTTAAATTTTACAATTGGGACCCTTCTTTTGCCTCTAAAAGCTCATTTTAGAATTATAGATTCCTCCACACGATACTATTGATAATGCGGGTGTAGCCATCTTTCTTTCACTGTCGTTCCTAAATGCCTACAAACAGCAGCGCACTCCCGTTGCAGAGCAACCGCTATTAACGAACGCACCCAAAAACTGTTACCAGTTGATGATGCTCATGCTGAGATTATCATATAAAATGAATAATCCTCTGGTAAAATATTTACTTAAATAATAAATAAGTATTTTACCTATGAAAAAACCGAATAATAAATCCGATTTAAATAAGGATTTAACAACATGCTTTTTAATTTTTGGAACTTAATCCCCCTTTTCGCACTAGTTCTTTGTTTTGTATAACACGGATTCGCATAACACAGCAATTTTCTAGAACGTAACTCCCGTGTTATACGGGGTTACCTGTATATATATATCATTTATTATGTTAAAAAATTAATTTTTTCAAACTTTAATCTTCAGAAAAACTGTGGTTTAAGGTCATACCTATTTTTAGCTTTCAAATATTATTCAGATATTTTATATTTATAAGTTTATACAGATATTTTTAGATAAAGTAATTTTTTAGGTTTTCAAAATTATTAACGAATTAATGCATAGGGTATATTAGATGGTAATTTATTTGACAATGGTATTTATATATATATATATAAATATGATATACTGTGTACTTTTCTGTCAGATGCTCAGAAATGAGGAACAGTTATTCAAGAAAGCAGATTTAAATAATGATGGATATTTAGACAAGTCAGAATTTCCTGCATTTACACATCCAGAAGAATTTGAGCATATGCATGATGTGAGTTCAATATTTTCATACTATTTTATATAAAATATTTTATAATAAAACTTATATTATTTAAAACATTTAAATAATTACATATTCTTTTCTTATAAATTCAAATACCATTTTCTTGATTATATATTCCTTAGAATAGTATTATTATTCAGTAGGATTTTAGATCTCTACAGAGATAGGATTTCTTGTACATAAAAAAAATTGCTGTATGTAACGAGTCGTTTTAATATATACCATAAATATTTTTGGTGTTTTAAGGTTTCATACTCAGAAATCTATTTTAATATAGTATTTGAAGATAAAGCCATAAGACATTTCAAAAATGTATATAAATGCATAAAGCAATAATTTCTTGACTAAGTCATCATTTTATTTAGGTTTTGGAAGCATTTTCTTGGATAAATTTTAAATGAATAAAAACATTAACATTATTATCTATAGAGAAATATATAAAAATAATATATAGATTTTTTTACTTTTGAATTTTTATAGAAGGAAAAAATTTATTCTAGAAACAGATAAATTTTATTTTTTTGGGGAAATTTTTTGGAGTGTTTCAGATTACAAAGATAGAAGATAACTAATATACAAATTATTCCTATATAGTCTGAACAATTAGAATACTGTAGAGCTTACATTTAAACTACTCCTTTTAAATTGAATTTATCTTCTACTGTGTTTCTATTTTGATGAGTGTTTTATGCAGCACTTTTTTGTCATAGAACACAATGAAACGGTGTTCCACCACCTTTTTTCGATATATTTTAAAAGTTTTAAGAGAATTTTTGAAAATTTGATGTTTGCTCTGCATTGAATCACACTGTTGAGCATAGAAGATCGGCGACAAAATTATTAAGATGTCCTGCTCCTGCTTGTGTGCCAAATCTTGTGTACGATGCATGTAATATATTTTTAGTAATGAGATGAGCATTCCTTTTTTTTCCCCAAAAGAAGCACTGGTTTTATGAATGAATTTTATCATTGCAGTGATTGCATGGAAATGAATTAATACAAAATCTTTCTGTCAAATTTTATAAAAATTAATAATTATTTTTGTTTTATAGTAATAACTTATAATCAACAATTAATATTTTAGCTGCATATGTCTTTATTATGCAGTTTTATACTCAAAAAGTTAGATGTAACTAACTTTGAATAGTACTCTAAACATTAAATTACATTAAATATTTTGTTAATATTATATACAATGAATTACAATGAATTAAATACTTTATAATCTGAATTCTTTTTGTAAGAGGTGAAAATAGATAACATTTAATCTAGTATTAAACTTACACTAGAACTTTTAGACAGACACTTGAATCATAATTTTGTTTTTTTCTGGTAAGTTTCAACTATAGTTTCTTGTTTTGAATTAAAAGAATACATTTTTAATTTGAAGAAATTTCTAACTTTGAAAAATTCATTTTGCAAAAATAAAGATTTTTAGATGCACATTACCCAACAATGTAAAGATTATCACAAGGAAAAAAAATAAGTTTCGAAAGATTCTAAATTATTATGCATTGAGATATAAATTAGGACTATCATCATTTCTGCAAACATTTCTGTAGTTTAGTCTTTTAGCGGTTTCACTAATGACAAAATTCAATTAAAAAAATATCACTGTAATCATTATTGTTTAAAAACTTCCAATAAATTTAATTTCAAAACACTTAAGAAACATTGAAAAAAATATGACTTTTAAAGTAAATATTATATTCAAATTTATTTTTCACGGTGAGATAAGAAATTAGTGCGGACACTTTATTACAAAATAAATTATAAAATTCTTTACACCAAATGTGCTAACTTTAAAAACCCTGTTCAGGGCACTTCATAATTATGGACAGTGAAAAATCAACACAATTCATACATCATAATTATATTACTGAAAAATTAATAAATTATAGAATATGAAAATCAAGGGAATATTTATGGATAGAAATCTTGAAATTACAAAATATTTTTAAAAGTCTCTGAAGATATAAATAAAATTAATTTTGACAGTGAAAATATTGATTAATTTAACTCCTTAATGACTTGAAAAAAAAAAGGTTAAAATAGTAACAATGGCTGTTACATGCTAGAATTGGTGAAAAGTATTCAGAACAGTTCAGAATGTTAAATTAATAGATTTTTGTATCTAAAATTAACAGAACTGATGAAACTATAAGTAGCAAAAGAGTCAAATTGCATCTATAGATCTATCATACTTAGCTATTTTTCTATTTCATTAGCAAATATTTTATCATAATATCTTTTTAAACAAAAACAGATATTTATACTGTATAAATTTTAGTTGAACTGGATTGTTTTGAATATAAAAAGACAGAATTAGTCATTAAATATTTAAAAAATTTATTATGATTTTTTTTGTCTTTATACTTTTTATCATTTTAGTAAAGTATTTGATTCATATATAAATCATGGATTAATAATTTTTCAATAATTTCTAAAATATATTATTTTATTTTATTTTAATAGACATTATATGAACAAACCATGCAGAAGAAAGATAAAAATAAAGACGGTTATCTCAGTCTCGAGGAATACATGGCAAATTCTAACGGGAAAGTTTCTATGTTAGGTAGTGAGGATTACATTGTAGAAAAAGATCGTTTTGATACAGATTACGACAAAAATCATGACGGAAAACTGAGCAAAGAGGAAGTTTTACTTTGGTTAATTCCGAACAATAAGTATGTAATTTTTATTTTTTAAATTTATTGTCATACTGTTAATTTATTTGCTTTCAGATATTAAAGAAAATGCCATAGAGTAATAAGAAATATTTTATATGAATGTTTACAACAACATATAGATAAAACTTCTTAAATTTTTAGAAATTAATTAAAAGAAAATAGATATATTTTTAATTAATTGATGAATGTTTTAGTTTATTTAATATAAGATATTTTTAAAAGGAATAAAAAAAAAAGCTGTATGAATTATAACTCAATTATAGTTAAAATAANATACAATGAATTACAATGAATTAAATACTTTATAATCTGAATTCTTTTTGTAAGAGGTGAAAATAGATAACATTTAATCTAGTATTAAACTTACACTAGAACTTTTAGACAGACACTTGAATCATAATTTTGTTTTTTTCTGGTAAGTTTCAACTATAGTTTCTTGTTTTGAATTAAAAGAATACATTTTTAATTTGAAGAAATTTCTAACTTTGAAAAATTCATTTTGCAAAAATAAAGATTTTTAGATGCACATTACCCAACAATGTAAAGATTATCACAAGGAAAAAAAATAAGTTTCGAAAGATTCTAAATTATTATGCATTGAGATATAAATTAGGACTATCATCATTTCTGCAAACATTTCTGTAGTTTAGTCTTTTAGCGGTTTCACTAATGACAAAATTCAATTAAAAAAATATCACTGTAATCATTATTGTTTAAAAACTTCCAATAAATTTAATTTCAAAACACTTAAGAAACATTGAAAAAAATATGACTTTTAAAGTAAATATTATATTCAAATTTATTTTTCACGGTGAGATAAGAAATTAGTGCGGACACTTTATTACAAAATAAATTATAAAATTCTTTACACCAAATGTGCTAACTTTAAAAACCCTGTTCAGGGCACTTCATAATTATGGACAGTGAAAAATCAACACAATTCATACATCATAATTATATTACTGAAAAATTAATAAATTATAGAATATGAAAATCAAGGGAATATTTATGGATAGAAATCTTGAAATTACAAAATATTTTTAAAAGTCTCTGAAGATATAAATAAAATTAATTTTGACAGTGAAAATATTGATTAATTTAACTCCTTAATGACTTGAAAAAAAAAAGGTTAAAATAGTAACAATGGCTGTTACATGCTAGAATTGGTGAAAAGTATTCAGAACAGTTCAGAATGTTAAATTAATAGATTTTTGTATCTAAAATTAACAGAACTGATGAAACTATAAGTAGCAAAAGAGTCAAATTGCATCTATAGATCTATCATACTTAGCTATTTTTCTATTTCATTAGCAAATATTTTATCATAATATCTTTTTAAACAAAAACAGATATTTATACTGTATAAATTTTAGTTGAACTGGATTGTTTTGAATATAAAAAGACAGAATTAGTCATTAAATATTTAAAAAATTTATTATGATTTTTTTTGTCTTTATACTTTTTATCATTTTAGTAAAGTATTTGATTCATATATAAATCATGGATTAATAATTTTTCAATAATTTCTAAAATATATTATTTTATTTTATTTTAATAGACATTATATGAACAAACCATGCAGAAGAAAGATAAAAATAAAGACGGTTATCTCAGTCTCGAGGAATACATGGCAAATTCTAACGGGAAAGTTTCTATGTTAGGTAGTGAGGATTACATTGTAGAAAAAGATCGTTTTGATACAGATTACGACAAAAATCATGACGGAAAACTGAGCAAAGAGGAAGTTTTACTTTGGTTAATTCCGAACAATAAGTATGTAATTTTTATTTTTTAAATTTATTGTCATACTGTTAATTTATTTGCTTTCAGATATTAAAGAAAATGCCATAGAGTAATAAGAAATATTTTATATGAATGTTTACAACAACATATAGATAAAACTTCTTAAATTTTTAGAAATTAATTAAAAGAAAATAGATATATTTTTAATTAATTGATGAATGTTTTAGTTTATTTAATATAAGATATTTTTAAAAGGAATAAAAAAAAAAGCTGTATGAATTATAACTCAATTATAGTTAAAATAAATTACTAAGGTAGTTTGAATTTGGATGTATATGAAGAGTTTTGACTAAACTTAGCAAAATCATATCAAGAGAAAACATTTTATTCATAGATTTACTTAAACTGATTAATAAAATCAATCAATTTAAATAAACTTTTGGATTCTTCTTATGCAACTAATCAATACAAAACCATTGGTACTGATAGTGATACTAACAGTAAACATTTTATGAACTTTGACTTTTATTAAGAATTAAATCATGTAAATTTTATAAAGTTGTAATAATAAGCAAGTTATATCCTTTTACAATCTGAAAATCACCTGTATGTTTATAGAAGATGTATTTACTAAACAAAATTTTCAAGGGTGAGAATGATACTTTAGTATGTTAGTTAAATACTTTCAGCTACTCGTTAATATTACAGATTGAAGATAATGTTCTTCCTATATTTGAGCATAACATCTAACATTACAAACTTATTATTTGAATAATTTTAGATATGTAATAATTGATAATAAACTTTATTTAATAATAATACTAACAACTTTGGTCTGACTTTAGATATACAACAATATAGTATAGGAAACTGTATTTTTTAGATACTGATTTAGCATTCAAAAGAAAATTAATATTACTATTAATTACCATACATTTTAACAGTAATATTAGTTTTACAGTTTTAAAGTTTACAGTTATTGGATTAATTAATAAGTAATTTTAATTTATCATATGTTCTGTCCTCTACATAATGAATAGTTGCTTTGACTTATCTAACTTGAAAATATAAAATAAGAGATGTTTTCAGAAAGAACAATAAGTACAAGTTTTAGCAGTGTTATCAAATGTTGCATATCTTAAAGGAGATATGTATAATAATTGCTTATTAGCTGAAATGACCAGCTTCTTATTATAATTTTAAATTATCCTTTAATTAATCAATTTTTTGTTTTGGTAAATCAAAGAACACAGTTTTAGTTTAACAAAAAGTTTAATTTTCCTAATTTATTGATCCACTATGTACAAGTATAACATACATAAATGATTAAAGAGTAATATATAGCCAAATCTATCAGTTTACTACATTTGTACAGTACAGTACATGTTGTATTGTACATTGTCTTTGGCAATCCTAATAATGTACAGTACTTGATCTATAAAAAGACGAGAGAACAATGATATTATAGGATTTATCTTAAAATGTCCATAATACGTTCATTATATTTTCTCATATTAAGATAGATTAAGTTAAATGAAAAAAAAAATTTTGACAGTTTTACTAGATAAATCTGAAATAAAATGACAATAGACTAAGATAATACAAATGAGTAAGAAAATAAATATAAAAGACTCAATGAAGTTAATTTTCTAAAGAAATATCAACAGAAAATAATGTTCATTGTACAGAAATGAATGAAATTTTGGTATCAGATTGAATAATTAAAATGAAATGCTGTTTATTTAAGGAAACAAATTCTACATTTAAAGTTTTTTTAGTTTTAGTAAAGAACATTTCCAGTACTACAAGTATATAATAGAATAAGGCAACTATGTACAAGTATATAATAGAATAAGGCAGTTGTTCAGACTATTTTAATACATACATAACATAACATTCTTTAACACCATTATGCTAATAAATGCTTAAGTATTAAATCATACAAGTTTGGTTGTATGTAATAAGCTTAACAAAATTATATTAAAAAATTGTACTATTTTTACATTATATTCAACAACTTAAAAAAAATACTTTTTATAATTTTTGAACATTCTGTAGTTTAAAAGTACAGTACATGTCCAATTGTTTTAGTTATACATTTGTTTTCATATGTTCATAACTGTAGGTGAATTGAAAATGTTAGTCAAAACTAAATATCAGTTGAAAATAAAGATATTTTATTTTGACTTTTGACTAAGATTTCTTCTCTGCTAATCAGAAACTACACCAGTATAATAAACCCTATTAATAAACAAGGCCCAAGTAGACAAAATATACACAGAAATGAAAATTCTGGTATTTTTGAAATTGTGCATAAATGAAAAGAACACGTATCAACTGAATAAAATTTAATTCTGTGATTTGCCAAGTGTCTGTATAAATACAATAAATAAGAAATGAAAATGTTAGTGTTAGTAAATTTAGAATTGATTTCTTAAGCAGAGAGCATTTCATTTTAATGTTATTTGCTTTAATATTAAAGTAATTAAAATCGAGGACTAAGTCTTTTGAAATAGTCACCTTTTTTTCACTTCTGTATGCCAGAGTACATTCCACAACAACCCAATCTTTCCTTTTAGACTACTTAGTTGCCAAAATTTAAAAATTTCTTTAAACATGAAAAAATACATACCTGATTAAAATTGCTTCTTTTAAAATTGGAGTGGAGATAAATGGATGTCACACTGCTTTTCCATCGATACGGCCTCGGGACCATACTTATTCTTGAACTTTTATACATTGAGAGAAGCACTGGTAATACATAGATTTCAAGCAGATCATAGAAAAGTGTTTTTAGTGGAATATATATTTTTTTGATGTTTTAACAAAATTTTAAAATTTTGGCTACCAAATAGTCCAAAAAGTCATTGTGGGATGTATTCTGGAACTTGGAAGTGAATAAAAAGATGGCTATTTTGGACAGACTTTGTCTTCAATTTTAATTAATTAATATGCAAATTACCATCCAGGCAAATTTTTCAAAGTTAAATTAAATATTTCTCTTAACAATGGAAATAGTTTTTAGCCACTGCATAAATAATACAAAATTAATAAGATTTATAGAATTTGAAGTGTAGTTTATATTAAACAGAAAAACAATTTATTTTCCATGGATCATTTAAAAATTTTTTTAACAGTTAAATGTTTTATGCTTAATTCTTTAGATTTACAGACAAATATATGTAAAATGTTTTAAATGTAAAGTTTTTAAAACTTAGTCAGGTAAGAATTTTTTATTGGTAATAAAAATTGTGATACAATTTGTGTGTAATAAAAATTTATAAAAGCAAAAATACAGATATTATTATGCATTTAATAATAATGTATTGTTACCATAAAGAACAAAAAGAATAACTTCATGGATATTGTGAAGTAAAAGTTTAGTAAAAGATAAAAATATTTAAATGTTTGAGATTATGTGAAAGTAATTTATAGAAATTTTTGATTAAAATCTTTAGAACTATTGGAATAAATGCATATATGGAAGGAAAGACTAAAGATATTTTTTACTGGTAATATGAAAGACGTGTAGAAACAGCAAACTACAACGTTTTTCCCACACATTCTTCATCTGTAATTTCATGCAATTTTAGTATATATTATCATTATTAGATTACGATAAATGTATTATACATTAATCATACATACAGCTGTGATGCAGAATATGTATTAAATATATTTCACATTGCAGCTATAATTTCTTTCAGTAACAAGTTATACACTATTGTATAGTTATACACTATTGTATTTTACACAAAAAACCGTAACATTAATAATTATTATTTCGTGTTTAGCGACATAGCGGAAAGCGAAGCGGATCATCTGATCGACAGTTCGGACGCCAATAAAGACGGAAAATTATCCATTCAAGAAATAGTAGACCATCACGAAATTTTTGTGGGAAGCGAAGCCACGGATTTCGGCGAACATTTGCATAACACACACAAATTTGACGACGAACTCTGAAAGATTTCTTCGGAAATGTCCCTTAAAAACTTATTTTATACTTAATTATAATTATTTGCTTCCAGTTACTTTAATGCTGTTTAATATATTAATGTAATATACATTAATAAAGTTATTTATGAACCTTTTTTAGACTACAAAAAATGTATTTGTTTTTACGTAATAAAATCCGTATTATTATATAAATTCTTTTGTTTATCTGAAATAGAAAAATGAGATTGTTTTAATCTGTGTGTCTTCATTAGATTTAGCCATTTCACCTATTTTAATAAACGTCTAACATCAAATCTCTATAAGGAAACAGTAGAATTTAAAATGAATATCAAGAGTGATATTTTTAAGTGTAGATTTATTAATATATACATACATCGATTTCAATTTTATAATGTAAAAATAAAATGCAATTTTTATCAAACTGTTGAAAAATTTTATTATTTTCTAATTCATGATTTTTTTGCATAAATTATAATTGTTTAATATCATATTGCAGTACTGTATTGAAATGCTTTCTTTGATGCTAATGTAAAAATCTGTTCGTAGAAATTTAATACTGTACTGTACACTGATACGTATCTTTATATATTTTATATACTGTATATGTATTTAGTAGCGTAACTACTTTTTTGTTGCCCTTGTCAGAAATTCTTGCGCCCTGCCATAACATGATTTTAAAAAATCCAGCAACAAGTTGCTTAACTTTCCCGGCAACATTTGGTGGCGCCATCTGTTATGGTATTTTAATAAATTTTATATTTTTAACTATTATAAAATGGCAAAAAGCTTAATCTTGAGGGTAGGGATGGGTTTTATAAAAATTTTAAATGCTAATAACCAGTAAAATCGTCATTAAATCCGACCATACTGGAGATATATACGACCCCCTTTTTCTTCCCACCCCTCGACCTTTACTCACCAAAATTTAATAGCTTCGATCCCTTTAACAAACAAACCTCTCTGCAAAATTTCAGAAATTTTCGACTAAAAGCACAGGAGTTATTAAGCTACAAAGAAAGTGAACAAAGTCATGTCCTCCCCCAACACACCAAATATCCATACATATAGAAAAACTTCCCAATTTTTTTTTCCTTGACGTTTCAAGGTCACGAGTCCAAAAATGTAAAAATCTTGGGGGTCATTTTTAACCCATTATGGCACTTTTCCCCTGTTAACTTATATATAACAGCCGGGAAAGTGACTAGATATATACAGTATACGGTAACATCAATTTACGCATAAAAGGCGATACTGACAATTTCCAGTCAACTTCCTGTTAAAAGGAATACTAAATACCCTAAATCGGAGACAATAATGTTATGTATGTGTAGTGTTCAGTAATCGATATGCTACAATATCGTCAGATTAAACACTTATATCAAATAATACTTTGGTAATTTTAGATATAACCGAATAAAATCACTTCTCGTTATTCACTTTACTTACTTCTCGAATAGTTTAAATGACTTTTATGTTTTAATATTCGATTTAAACCGAGATGATGTAACCAACTTAACAGACTAAACACGTCGGACAATTTATTTTTTCATTATAACGGAGACTAACGGAAGAAATTTCTTTTCTTGTTAATTAAATTTTGTAAGTTACTACGTAAGAATTTCATTAGTCTTGAAAATCAATTTAAATTTTATTTTAAAAAATAAGAACGACGTGGTCCAATGCCGAGCTGCAATTTTTAATCATACTTTTAGTTTATTTACTTTAAAATATATGCTCTCCGCCTCAAATTAGTGTTAGCTTGCCCCTGTACATCATACTTTTCCTTTAACAATAGAGTCGTGCCGGTCATCTATCTAACACCTTTCGGAGAAAAATTTTTGAATTAAAATAACGTAACTTTCGATTTAAATTGGAAGGTTTTATACAGTTAATCGGGACCTCCTGCCTCTATGGTTTCACATCTGGTCTCGTATTTCATCTATCTAACTCCGTTCTCGAGATTAAGGAAGGACAAAAGGTCTGACGACAGTGGGAATTTATAGGTCAACAATTTTTTCAAATTGTAGCCCAAAAAAACAAACGGTCTTAGAAAAGGAAGCTGCGAAATGCGAATTGAAAACAACAGAATTTCGAATCAAAATTTATTTATTAATATAAATATAAATTAGTAATTTTTTCATATTATTCGCGAAAGATAAATTACATACAACATCCGAGATCATATAATAAACCGAGGATCAAAAAGTGGACGTGGTCTCTTATATCCTTTGGTTTTTAAACACCAAAGGATAATACAATATTAAGAAAATTATAATTGTATTTTGACTTTTAATGCCGCCATTCGTGATACATATGTCAACATCGAGTACGTCATAGACACGATAATATCGATTCTCCCTGATACAAGTGACGTCGTCCATATCGTCCAACGTAGTTTCACTTATCCATTCTTTCAAGAGCAGGTTACGGCAATGGCACTTTAACGGATTATTTCCAAAATACACGGATATATTGTTCAGTCCCTTCGGAGGCGTTTTGAATGAATTACTTCTGAGATCCAGCCTCGAAATTCTACTCTTTCCGAAATCTCCGTTCATGGCGACTAGAGAGTTGTGGCTGAGGTCGAGTTCTCTTAGGGTATCGAGAACACGCGGCTGCAAATTGTTCAAATTGAAATACTGCAGAGTATTATAACTTAAATTTATGACCGAGGTATTTCCGGGGAAATATATGGGTGATTGTATAAGGTCCGAGTGGCTGCAATTTACGTATATTCCGTGTTCCGGAGAGTAAAAAAAGCACCGACATCCGGACGGACAACTAGAGTTCACTTCGCATATCAAATCGTTCTTGGAAATTTTGTAAAAGTCCAAGTTCTTCATTTTAACCGGGGCGTGGCACTTGGTCGCTTCCATGTCCATTAATTCTACGGAATATTTTCGATCGTCTTTTAAAAATTCGAAGAAATCCCTCAGAAAACAATCGCAGACCAGCTTGTTTCCTCCAAGGAAATAGGCGGGAGGATCCACTCTCCTACCCAAAAATTCTATATTCATCATCATTTGGGTGACTTCGAAATATTTAAGCCTGTCGATACCGATAAATTTTATCTCGTTGTAACGAATTGAATAAACCACGCCGTAGGGAACCATGGACGGAATGACTAAATTTGCAATGCGATTACGATCCAAGTTCATGGTCTCGAGCTCTTCTCGGAAACTGGGGAAAACCGTGGGCAACTTCGTCAGCAAATTATGCGACAAATTCAGAAATTTTAGCTCTTTGTAACCCGAACGAAAATCGAAGGAGGAGTTTTCTAGACGATTGTGAGAAAGGTCCAGAGTTTCCAAGTGAATTAGTCGAGATAACAGCGAGTTTGGAGGTAGACTGCGGATGGCGTTGTAACTGAGATTCAACAGTTTGAGCTGCGAGAGATAAACGATGGCAGTTTCGGGCACGTTTTCGAAGCGATTGAAATCCAGACGAATCTCTTCCAATTTGTGTGCTTCTTCGAAGAGGGAATCGGGAAGATTTTGCAAGCGATTGCTACTTAAATCTATCCATTGCAGGAAATGGCTATCTCGAAATATGTCGTTCGGCAATTCTTCTAGCGAATTACCAGCCAGGCTCAATCGTTCTAGTTTGACGCTTTCTTGTATCAACCGAAGAGGAACTTCCGTTAAATTGCAATCACTTAAATATAATTCTTCGAGATGCTTCGCCTCTTCTCCCAACCCATCGGGGACGTTCTTCAGATTTCTGTTTCCGCTAAGGTCGAGATAGGTTAGACTTCTATCGTTCGGCAATTCCAGTTTCGTCGGCAAGTTAAACAACAAATTGTTTTTCAGCCATATTTTCTTTATTTTTCGGAGATTACCAAAGACGTCGACGTGGATCCGAGAAATGCGATTGTTCGATAGATTCAATTCTTCTAAGGAAACCAAGTCACGAAAGCAATCCGGCGAAATTTCTTCTAATAGATTATCGTTGAGATATAAATATCTTAATAGAAATAGACGGAGGAAAGCGTCGTTTGGGATACTTTTTAACGGATTATCCGACAGTTGTAACGTTAATAAAGACGGCAAAGCGAAAAATTTCGGAAAGACGAACTCCAACGAGCAATTTATAATCTTCAAGTGAAGCAAAGATAAACCGTGCAGAGCATTTTCTGTTAGGTTCCTAAATTCGGATCCCGTTACGGAGAGATAACGAAGAGATTTAAGATTCCTTAGAAAATTCGTAGAAATTTGAGATTCCGTAATTTCGACTCGCGTGGTGTCCCTTCTCTTCTGAAAATAATTCACACCGCAAGACGTAATGCGATACGACGAAACTGTCACTTGAGAGAAGCAGTCCAGTATGCTGGAAACGTCGTTTCGAAAACACTTAATCCTTACGTCGTTGTCTAAAGAAATGGTGAAATTCAACTTAAATTCGAAACAATTTCCTCTTATGCCGTTTGTATCTTCGTAAACACTACATTTATCCTTGGGACAGGGAGTCGCTCTCACCCATGTCAAACACCAAAGTACGAACGAAATCGACTTCCGCAACATGTCGAATATTCGAGTACATATCTCGCCTTTCTTCTTCCGAATTCGATATTTTTGCAAGGAAAAAAGAGATTTATTAACTTTAATTTACGATTTGTCAAATCGGCACAAAATAATATAAACTTAACGCTTTAATGAACAAACGATTCTAAACAGTTGGAAGAATTTCACTCGCCTACGCGTATTTTCTACGAATTTTTACTTTTAATACCCTCTTAACGCATCATTACATGACGTCAGAACACACTTATTTATCAACAAATGAATTTGTAACACTGCAAAGCAAGAAAAAACACACCCTTTCCTGTAATAATGACTCGGCACGTCACGTCCACCTTTCGTTTCCTCTGCGTCAAAAAACCGAATAGTTTCTATCCCGAAGATCCGGTTACGAATCAAATAATTCGCTAAATGTAAACTTTTTATTTTGATTTTTACAAATGGAATCTTTGATTCTTTCCCACATAAATAAGAATAAGCAATTTATTAATAAACTTACGCGAAATTAGCGGTTTGTTAGAATCTCAAAACATTAGTAATCTTAAAAATGAAAAAAAGGCATTTATATATCACTTTTAAAAGTAAGTAAAAGGTAAATTGCAATTCACAAAGTCACGAAAAACGGGAATACGAGAGAAGCAACTCATTTACTGTTAAAACACGTAGATACAATTTACATTAGGGACGAAAAAAACACTTACGATCCACAATTTAGACTAAAAAGCGCAACGTACTTACATAAATTAAGCAATAAAAGCCATTAATTAACGATGAGCAATATTGCTGTACGTTGCTGGAACTACGAAATATATCGTCCGTACGAATGAAAAATTAAGACGTGACGTCACTCGTGACTCATCGGGAATACTATCCGAGCCGTTACATCATTCGAATCGAATACGAAAATATTCTAAATAAGTTTTTCCTAGTGCACAAAAAAGTGGGAAGAATATTTTTTTGTTAATTAATTATATTATTTTCGAATTTGTTTAACGTTTTAACAAACGGCGGTGGTTACGGAACGGAAGCGCTGGTTTATTGTGTAAGCTACGACGAGGTATCGGACGTGAAAAGTAAAATTAATGACGATTTAAAATTAGGTAAATTTATTTTAAATTCTAATTCGACGCCAACGAATTTCGCACCGCACGTCAGCAACTTAGTTCGACACGAAGTTGCTGACAAGTAGCTAAGTCGAACTTCCTTTACGTCAGCGAGTTCGAATACATTAATCAATCTCGTCGGATGTCGCGAGATTATAAATAAAATGGTGGAAATTCTACGGAATGCCGCAGAAACTGCTTACCAATCATTTAAAATGCATTTCGTACGTAAACACCTTAAGTGAGGGCAAAGCGGTGTAATTACAGCGTAACGATGCCAATCTCGACGGCAGTTAGGAAGATAGCCAACCGTTAATTAGTTTTAAAACAATTATAAGCCCTGTTGAAAAGAATGGAGTCGAACGAGTGTCTATAGAAATTGGAGTATAGGAACAATTAGGTATAGAAAGATGGCTTCTAAAGCCAAGCAGTTAACTTGTTTACGTTCGGCTTAGAAGACGAAAACACTTTAATTTGCTGGTAATTTAGGATTTATTCCTGTCGCTTTCAAATAAATTAAGCGGATCTTTCCATCGCTCCACTTGTGGCATTTACTCATTTTGTAAAAAAACATTTTGTTTATTTTATAAAAAGGACGTAAAAGGCGGCAGAAAGAGTGTTTATACGAGTACTTTGTATACACGACACGTTTATCCGTACCGTGTCTACCCGGGGATTTGGAACTTGGATTCTATTTTGGACCATTAAAAAACTTGATACGGACTCTGGGATTCTAAAGATTGTAAATCGAATAATATTTTTGATCGCTGTTTGAAAATGTTTCTATCCGTCGTACGAAGTGTTTCTTAGAATCATATAATGACATCGATGTTATTTCTTTCAAACAATTATTTTAAAATTCCAGAGAATTTGATATCAGTTAATATTAGAAGTTTTGTGATTTCAAAAGGCAATCATAAACGAAATTTAGAATACAACAGAATTTTCCGAAATATTTATAAAGAAATTCAAATTCGTCATTTTATATCGTGTTACACATTCGGTAAATGTGGAGAAATGTTTTCGTTATTACCCTTTAGTGTTAGTTCTATCCACCAGATGGTAGTAACGGCAAGAAACGAACGTTTCCGGTGTAGATAAAATTGCAAAACTAACTTTAGTGGCCCTTCTTTGATAACAGAACAGTCTACCGAGTTAAAATAATTTACGTTTTAAGTTTTCGATAGGACAATCGATAAGATAATAGTTGTTCGGTGTTTGTCTACTTAAGATTAATTTAATAAATGGTAAGAAAAATACTAGAAGAATTTGGAAATAACGAAAGGAAATATCTATTATTACATTACTTGTAATATACGAAATCTTTCGTAGTTTTACAAATAAGATTTCAAAGTACAGCGCTTAAGCCAACTAACTTAAACTGAACGTTAATACGATTGTAGGAAGTCCACGATTTAGTGACATCGCCGACGAATCGTATACCGAACACCGAGCATATACAGCTTCTCCTTGACTTACAATGGGTTACGTTCCCAAAACGCACCGTTAGTCGAAAATAACAATCAACACTGTAAATAAAAAAAGCCTGTATGATAGGTTATACAGTACGTAACGTTGCATATTGTATCGTAAAGTGTACTGTATGTACAGTACAGAAGAAAGGATAAACGAAACAAAAGAAAACTTACAGAAGTATACTTATATTACGCTAATGTTGCGCACAGTAATCTTTGAAATACGGTAACATCCACCAGAAAAGTATGCAATAATATTTTATTATAAAACTTTTAAAAAATCGAACAATTAATTATTTACTGTGACGCGGTCACAATACCGAGTAGCAATTTTTAACCATACTTTTAATTTATTTAATTTAAAATATATGCTCTCCGCCTCAAATTAGTGGAGGAAAAGGTGGTATTATGGAACCCTGCCACTTCAAATTGATAATAAAGGCGAACTGCAGCGGATTGTGGCCGAACTGCACTAGGCAGACATCCGTAGCGAAGGGAAAACCCGTTTTACTTCAGTTAAAGGGTTGTCCGTAGTGAATCGGCATATTTGTGTTTTTCGAAATTCGAAAGTTTTGAATGCTAAGCGAATTTAATTATTTTTAAAATATAAATCGTATAGTTGTAGGTTCACCGGTGCACGTATTCCGTTCCAGAGACTTAGGAGTACATATTAATCTGTGCGATGTTCACTTTTTTAAATTTTGGTCTCTACAGACATAATTTAATTCGAGATGGCGATGCGCGAAATACTGACCCCATTGGTACTTTTACAGTAATATGGAACTCGATTCCTCCAAACTCTCTCTTTGCGAGCGGACATTCGTCCGGAGAAATTTGTGAAAAAGACACTAGGTAGAAAGTCAATTCTTCCCGAGAATATCGAAAAAGAGCTGCTGAAATACATATTGTCGATGGAGACCATATTTTTCTATTATAAAAGCATTTTTGCGATAAAATACATTGGAGTAAATAATTTTGTAATTATTTAACATTCTTTGTACTTTCCTATTTGTTTTTGGATACATTAAAGCATTTTTTGAAAACATACATTAAGGTTCCGTATTACCACCCGGTTTTCCCTGAGCCTACTTTCGGACTTTTTGTACAGAAGCCTTCAAAAACCATACTTATAGTTACACTAGCGAAAAATCAAATTAGGAGCATCTAGTTTAATAGTTACCAGTACTTTTCGTACAAAAAATTTGGATGTAGTCATGATACCTTGTTTACAATTCACTATAATGAAAATGGGGTTCCATAATACTACCTTCTCCTCTACTGGTTTGCTCGTGTACAACGTATTTTTCCTGATAACAATAGAGTCGTGCCGGTCATCTATCTAACACCTTTCGGGGGAAAATTTTTCAATTGAAATAATGTAATTTTCGATTTGCATCAATAGTTATTATATAGTTAATTGGGGCCTCCTGCCCCTAAACTTTCCATACAGAGTCTCGTCTCTTATTTATCTAACTTTTTCCTCGAGCTTAAGGAAAGACAGACAGACGGACGAACGACAGAGGGAAATAGTGTTAAGTTCATACGAGAGTGTTAAAAAACATTCGGCATATCTATGGTAAATAGAGAGCTACACCATACCGAGTAAAAACACTAGTAAACTGGTGAGAAACTCGACCGTTTCCGAGATAAATGATGCGAAAAGGACCCGGAATTTTTCGACAGTGTTCGCGACTCCGCAAGAAGATGCCAAGACCGCATAGAAATGGAGGGAGAACACGTGAAACACCTGTAAATATCGGGTTAAAGATTTGGCAAGATTATTCTCGCGCGAATCCAGCCTAGAAGCCAATACGGTAAATCAGTCACGACACTAACGTACTGTACAAAACAGTTAATATCTGGGAAACGATCGACTTTTCGAACATGTTTATTAGGGTGTTTTTACTCACAAATCAGTATGGTGTACAGTACCTCTGCCATGCAAATGCCGAATTTTTTAATCTAGCAGAAGTAACTTCTCAACCAAGAATTATCTCGGCGACAAACCGCGAAAGGGTCTCACCGTCCTAAAATTAACAGATTAAAGTACAAAATTCCGTAGAAGACAGGAGAATTATTTTTAAAAAATCAATACCTTCAATCACTACTCTAGCGCAAGTTACGTCTATTTTAGGACGGGTCGACACCAAAAAAAGTTTAAAGATAAACAAATTAAAGAGTAGAAGACTTAATCTTTCTGACAAGAAGGTACGATAAAAGTAGAAACAATTATTTAAAAAAAACAATAAAAAATTAAGGCACCCTCCACGCGGGGGTGGCAACATTTATAAAGAATCATACAGTAAATATTTTTCCGTATGTTAAACAAGAATAATTATTTTAGTCAGTATATTTACGTGGCGAGTCCGATTAAATAAGGGTCGTTATTTTTAGACCAAATATATATACATTTAAATCATAAATTTGATTTCTAATTCCGTTTCGCAAGCCTTTGTCATTTCGGAAACTCCCGGAGAAAGTTATTGTTTAGCAATTTATTTATTTATTACGGCATCCGCAGTCGATAAGACGCGATATTAATTAAATTATATTTTAAAATGGTTTTCTTGCCGGACAAAATTGACGTCGTGTAGGAACAAGGTTACAAGAGAAATGGAGCCGTCTCGTACATAAAAATAACACGGTACATTTCGATACTTCTCTACACTTTATCTAGCGACACGACTCCACCCAAAAAATGTTGTGCACTTTCGCCATTTATTTACTCTTTCTTCGAATTATTCCGCATCGAGTAATCCAATTTGCCATTAAAAAGAAAGTTTAAATGTTTTTGTCGTTTAGGAATCGGTCGAAACGTAAAATAACAAACAGGAAATAAATTTCCGTATACAATTTTATATTAGGAAAATTACAAATCGCAAAAATATTCCAGCAACGAGTTGTTTAACTTTCCAAGCAGCATTTAAAACTGCGTATGGCGTCATCTGTTACGATATTTTATTTAAAAACTTGTTATATTTTTAATTGCTGTAAAATGGAAGAAAAGTTTAAATTTGAAGATAGGTACGGGCTTTATAAAAAGTGGTAAATGTTAATTACGAGTAAAATCGTCATTAAGTCACACGACACACGACCTCCTTTATCTCCCCACCCCGTCGACTTTTAACCACTAAAATTTAATAATATCAAACCTCCTAATACACAAACCTCTCTACAAAATTTCTGAAATTTTCGACAAAAAGCACGGGAGTTATTAAGCTTCAAACAGAATGAACAAAATCGTCCCTCCCACACATACCAAATATCCATACATACAAAAACTCTCCCAAATGTTTTTTTCACTACTCGACGTTTCGAGATCCCCCCAGTCCAAACATGTAAAAATCTTAGGGAGGTCATTTTTTGACCGATCGTCATACTTTCCCTCTGTTATATATAACAGAGCCAGGAAAGTAATTAAGAAATTGGACAAAGTTTATTGTTTTCCTTCTTGTTTTTCCATCGAATTAATTATTATTTTAAATTGTATTCCATTTGTTATTTAAAGATGTTTATCGCGTGCGCAGCGCGACGTGGTGACGCGCTATCCCGCGATAAACGACGACGATATCAATAATAATTCAAAGGCTGAACGGCGCGCCGCCGTGTCGCGACACCTCGTCGCGGCGCGTCGCTTAATTTTCCAATCGTCATTATTAATACTTGCTCGTAATACACAACAGTAAGTTATTAACACTCAGACGTTACATTGTATAAGTTCGCACAATTACAATTAATTTATTTCTGTCATTTTTAAAAGTTTTTTTTTTATGCGCTAATTTCGTGTCCCGCGCCAAACCGTTCGCGTTCGACGTCGCGTCGCGTCGCGTAGGCATCAAACCGTATTGTCTGAGACGTGGTATTTCGCACGGAACCGAGCCATATATTTTTAATTAGCAAACAGTTACCGAAGTATAGAGAACGAAGGACAGACGAATCCAATCAAAACAACTCAATCAGAACTGGTATTAAAAAAAAGAAAAATAAGAGCGTGACCGACAGAAAACACTTATTAAATTTCACAGCGTAACACAAGCTAGAATATTCGAGTCGTATTATAATGCACGAGTACACGAGGAAGTCTTGACAGGTTCCGTGTTTACTTTGATTGTGTAATCTTAATTAAGTCGGAAGAATGCCAAAAAATTAGGTTAGGTACGGAACGTGGGCGAATTTTTGTAAAAAAATTCCCTACGTACTTCATAATTAGCGTTAGGTAGACGTTGTGTTTAATCCGAGGTAGGAAATGGCAACAAATGGAATTGTTTACTCGACTTTTTAATCTCATAAGTAAGCCTTTAACTCGGACTTATTCCGTCCATTTGCTGGTGGATTCCGAGCTCCTTCGCGAAGATTTCCAATAACTTTAAGTAAAATATATAAAAATAAAGACACGGACTTACCTAATAACGTAAAAGCAGGCATTATTCA